ACCCGGCCCACCACGTACCGCATCATCAGGTACATCAACCGGGACAACTTCCGGCCTCACCGGCCGGCGTCAACGTGCATCCGGCTGCTCACGCGCAGCATGTACTTCCGGGAACCGCAATCACCGCGAATCATCATCAGCACAGTCCGAATCAGCACACGCCACCCCATGGTGAGTTCACGACTTCCTTTCTTTCTGTCTTACAGATTCCGGATCAGTTTTACCTCCGCCTCGTCTAGCTTTTTATTTTTTATTTAGTGAGTTGGATCTTTTATTTCCTCTTCGTTCATTTCTTTGCTTGAAACTGGAGCTAGATGCGGACTCCGAGTTGAGTTTTTTTGAGTTTCTGGGGGTGAGATTTCTAGAGTAGATGGTCAAGAAAGCTTTTGTATTGCATGCTTCATTACTTGTGACTTAGGCAATGATGTATGTGAAATATTCAGACGTGTCTTCTTATTATAACAGATAGGGATACAGATTTTAAACACGAAAATTGAATAATTCCGATTATGAACGTCGTCGAGAATTAAGGAACGGGTGTAACTATTGCAAACTGCTTATTTGCAACTCAGCTTCCCTACGTAACTCGTCATTACCGTTAATACTCGCCCCCACCCCCGTTAATTTATAGATGACGATTAAAGATGACATTGTTTCCGTCATATAGTTCCGCTCGCGAGACGCGGCCCATTGTGCTTCGACAATTATAGCCGTGCCATTTATTCCATGAACGGAGCCTCTAACTGTTCCTTTCATTCGCCGGCCTATGGAGAATTGATAATTAATTTTATACAAACCGTGCAGGTATTGTGCCCGAGTAACAAGCAAACCACCGCGATTCAATCTTAACGCGTTCTCGTTAAGACCCAACATCTTGGCGACGTTGCGCGTAGAAAAACCTTCGGAACTAAGGCGTCTGGCCGGTCGTTAGACGCAAATTTTACAATAAACAAATTATAAAGTGACCCGATGTTTTTGAACGGACCGCAGCCGGCTATACAAGACCTTCCCTTTACAAGCTACTCCTTGCAAGAGTTTAAGCGGGGCGAGAAACCAATTAAAAAAACACGCGGTCTCCAGCCATTGATTCCACGTGTTATTACCCTTTGCGGAATGCCTCGATTTTAATTTGCATTTCAGAGATTTCCAAAGGAAACTTTCGTAAAATTGCTAGGTTTGCTTTTACTTCCAATAAACAGTATCATTAATTTTACGTTTGAAAGGGGGTTACAGAGGGGTTCTCTGGGGAGTCACGATTAATATTATTGAAGATGGTAAACAGGAAGATTAATATTAAAAATGTAACGATAAAGAGTAAGTTCATTTTTGCCAGTTATGTGACCTCACAGATCACAATAACACTAATCGATCTTTGGACGAATCGACCGCCAACGATGAAGAGTAAATTAATAGGCGTGTATCCCGCCATGAAACGAGCACTTAACGCACACCACTCATGGCTATCGCTTAACAGAGAGCCACTCAAGATCGTGTTACCGAAAATCGACTCACACCTTGTATCCACGTGCGAACTTCTATTGTATCGTTCGCAGGGAGCAGACTTTTGGGGGAAAAATCGAGGAAAGCTGACCCAGCTTCACGCCTCGGTTCACTTTTCCTTCATTTGTGTACAAACAACTCGAATTGACCAGCTGAATCGACTGACCCATCGATTCGCGGTGAAAACTGTATTGTTTCTCTTTTCGTTAACGTCAAGATACGTTAACTGAGACGGAGAGCGAGGGAAAGAAAGAGGGTAGTTGGGGTGAGCGCACTGTGGGAATTGAATATTTTTGTCAGAATAATCCCCAACGTTATGAATAATTAGTGGTATAATGAGTTGAGTGTTGGGCAGACCTGCAATGTCTCACCAAAACACAAAGAGCCTCGACAAAACGTAAAAATGGCCGTGCTCTCGCAAACTGTTCTCAACCTACACCGACCCCTAAACTTCGCTCTCGTGAGAATCTTAATCACTCAATATTAATGCAAATCAGCTACATTCGCTGACCACAAAATTTCGGGAATTTACAGGAAGATTCAGAGTCTCAATTGTTTTATTCCTCATCTTTTTAGACACCTGGTGTCATTAATTTACTCAATCATTAAAACTAAATTTTACGACGTTGAGGTTCTTCCATGTTAAACTTATTTCCATCGCCTTCAAAAATTTTTGAGGCACGTCATTCAGATTGTGAAACGAAGAAAAGGAAAATGAGAGTTTTCGCGATAGGTATTACCGTAATAAGAGGGTATCACGATCCGGAGCGTGGATTTTGTCCTGTATAACGAATTTTGAGAACGATTTTCGGGTGTCGGGTTCCCGGTGTAGCACAAAGGATCTGCCCTTCCATTCAAACGTCACTCTAGCACCTCGTCTTACAGTACAGCATTTATTTGCCGCGCTTCATTCGTTCCTTTTTGTCTTAAATCTTGGCCAGACTTAAAGACGAGAGCACAGAGCCGAGCCAACTGCTCTCAATTTATCCTCGATAATAATCATATCGATCGATTTCGCGTTGGTTGAAAAAACAGACGCAGGATCTGTCGCGTGGAACGCAGCCCTTGAACGCTGTCTGGCTGGTTCGTCGATTAAAAGTCCTTTGTTCTTCGCTTATAATGGACCCTCGTCCACGAAAATTTCGGAGCGAGCCTGCAAGTTGTTTGCACACTTCGAGTCGAAAACTTTCAAACTTATCTCGCTAACTTCGACAGCTGATACAAAAATAGGTTACCTTAATCAATTCTTTATACTTAGGTCGAGGAAGTTTATAGACTCTCGGATATTTAAGGAATAGGGACGTACTTAAGGAAGGTAAAAATACCCTCTGTCTGTGTTTACTGTATAAGTGTTATAGGTATTAATTTGCTTTTAAGGAATAAGTTCAGATAAGTCTAAAAAGTTTATGATGTATATGATAAGTCTAGAAGGTTTGTATCTGTAAGCAGCAGCGTTTAAACGAAGGTGTAATTAATATGTGTACGCGGAGGTTGTAACAAGAATAAAAATTGTTGGCGAGGACGCGACGGGGACAAAAGAGCAGGCGATAAACAGCGACAATGAATAGGAGGCGGTGGTAAATGGGGAATCATCGATTCGCTTGGCACCGCGTTAATCGTTAGGATGAAGAGAGGGCCAGAATGCAGGAACTCTGCGGATCGCATTGTCTAAGAATTCCGAGATTCGCGCCGGTTCGTTTCGGGCTTTTGCCTTTCCAACGGCTTGTATAGGAGCGCCTCTCTCTCTCTCGTACCCTCACTCCGCTTTTTCGGTTCGTTTGAAGTTGGCAATCAACTAGATTGCCTATCAACGCCTGAGAAGTCTCCTTGCACCACTCCCGTCGGTCCAGTCCTTTTCTTGCTCTTGCACCCTCTCCTCCTCTATTACACCCTCACACACGGCCACGCGACAACGTTGTTCTTCGTTTATTCCCTCCTCGTTTCCTCTCGCATCTATCCCACCCTTTCACCTCTTTCTCCTACTTTCCCCTCTCTTCGTCCTGGTAACACATCTCCGATTCTGCAAAACGTGGCGCAATCGGTCCACCATTGTTTCCGTGTACCCTTATCCTGAGGGAACGTCAAGAACGCCAAAAGCGGCTGACCATTTTACTCGAAGACATTCAAAAATCCACAAGCAGTTGATAAAAGTCTTTCAATATGGCTTTCGGATAGGGTCTGGCTCAGAATTTCCCTTGCATTACAAGATCGATTGAAGGTTCATCGAATTAAGAGAAGTGGTTGGTTTTATTAGCGTAGTTTCTTTCGAAATAACGGATTATACGGGTGGTGATTGATCGACGATAGGCGTCGAAGAAATCCGGGTCCTCGTCTCGAGACCAGATCGAGGCGTCGGTTTCGTAGTGGGCTAATTTGAATTGCGACGGCTCTTACACACACGCGATCACGCGGAATCGGTCGTTGAAGGCGCGGAAATACAAGGCGCAACACAGAGGGCTAGGGGTTATATAGGTGTTCGTGTCGCGAGTCTCTTATACTAGTCCGCGACCACTTTTCCCGGAAACAAAGCCGGGCGAATTCATAATCCGCTAATTTGTTCAAGATTTTTTGCTCGAGTGGCGGCGCTTGCTTTGTCGCGGATCCCAGCGTGTCGAAGCCGGGCGCGCGTGGGGCTCGCGTTCAAGCCGCTTTGAAGTACTAATCAGTATCGACCTGCGCCTACAGGCCGCACCCCTTATCCGTGCTTACACCCTCGCCTACCGCCCACATCCACCCTCTCCTTCGCGCAACACCCCGACCACGGAATTTCTCCCTTTCATTCTTTTCCTCGACTTTCCGTCAGAGGCGTGACGGATCAACGGATACGTCAGCCGGAAGTCTATCCCGTTGCCATTTCGATTTCCCAACGATGCACCCCTTTTCTTACGATCGCTTAGACACCGCATTACACTACGTACTCCATAAAATACTAAAGCTACTATGTTCCAAATTATTATTGGTTCAATGGCCATTGTTTTATGTAATTTTTGTTGAAACATCAGTGGTAAATTGTATAGAATACTCGAAATATTTGTGGGCAACAAAAGGTGTAAAGTATCGAATATGCATGCTGAAATTAATCGATTCGTCTGGAAAGAGAAAAGCGTCGCAGGTTGGCTAGCTGACTCGGCTTATGCAATTGTGAATGCAAATTAAACGAAATTAAACAGTTAATTAAAGCACCCGGCGCCCCCGGGAGAAGTTAATTGAGATTCTTGGGAGATTTGTCGCGCGGAATGTCTTAATTTAGTCCCTTAAGCGCCCTAACTCGCCTTAACAACTTAGAATAATTGGATAACACTGCCAGGGCGTACTCACCGTCACAAGTAGGAAAATTCAGTCTCTCGGCACGGAGAGATGCTTTTTCATTCTTTTTTCTTCCCCTTCATCTCTTTTTCGTTTTTTTTAACAAAACGAGTCACGATTCACCTGCATGCTTACTGCCATGTTCTCTGTTACGTTTGCGTTAATCCTTCAATCGATCAAAATTAACCTGTTTATTAATACTGTAAAATTAACTTGCCTGTAAATATTGTAAAATGAACCTGTCTATAAATACTGCAAAATTAACCTGCCTGTAAATAGTGCAAAATTAACCTGTCTACAAATACTGCAAAATTAACCTGTCTACAAATTCTGCAAAATTAACCTGCCTGTAAATAGTGTAAAGT